AGCGAGTGTCACTAGTGCGGAGGTGCGTAATGAGGTCAGCGACAGTGGGAAAGGCAGAGAGGTCAGGAAAGAGGTAGGGAAGCATGAGACGGCTCAGTGCAGCAGTGGCAGGGGAGGAGTAGCGCGCAACTACAGCGTCGTACAAGGTCTGAGCACTCTTGTACTGACTAAAGTGCGCACGCTCAGAGGTAGGGAGGTGGCGACGCACAGCAAGACGTGCAGCAGCATCGCGGGTGGCCCACTTAGAGCGGACAGCGGGATCAGCATCAGCAGCAGGAGCAGGAGAGGCGCCAGAGGTGAGGTCAAAGAGAGAAAGGTCATCAGCCCTGTCGCACTGTAAGAACAGCTGCAGGTCGTCTAGCCAGACCTCAAAATCAACGGCGCGACCCTCAGCGTCAAAAGCTAGGACACTAGGGGTAGCCATGACGACGACTGTGAAGCAGTGCAAGCAGTAGGGGGGAGAGCACGCAATGACAGTGGGACTGTGCTCACCAGGCAGGGCAGGTCGCGCAGCTCGACAGAAAAGCAGAACGGCGACCGGGCGGCTCGGGTGTACAGCGGATCGGCTCCCGGGCGGCTCGACGGCAGGGCGGCTCGGGTGCAGGGCGGCTCGGCTCCCGGGCGGCTCGGCTGCAGGGCGGCTCGGGTGCAGGGCGGCTTGGCTCCCGGGCGGCTCGGCTGCAGGGCGGCTCGGGTGCAGGGCGGCTCGGCTCCCGGGCGGCTCGGCTGCAGGGCGGCTCGGGTCCCGGGCTGCTCGGCGACAGGCGGCTCGGGTCGCGTAGAAGTGAGACGGGGCGGGGCCGCGTCAGGGCCGGCGGTAGGGCCGCGTAGGAGCCGGGGCAGGGCCGCGAAGGAGCCGGGGCAGGGCCGAGTAGGAGGCCGGCGGTGGGGCCGTGTAAGGGGCCGGCTGCGTAGGAGCCGGCGGCGTGGCCGCGTAAGGAGCCGGCGCGGGGCCGCGTAGGAGCTGGCGGCGTGGCCGCGTAAGGGCCGCGTAAGGGCCGCGTAAGGGGCCGGCGCGGGGCCGCGTAAGGAGCCGGCGGCGTGGCCGCGTAAGGGCCGCGGAAGGGCCGCGTAAGGGGCCGGCGCGGGGCCGCGTAAGGGCCGCGTAGGAGGCGACGCGGGGCCGCGTAAGGGCCGGGGCGGGGCCGCGTAAGGAGCAGGCGGCGGGGCCGCGTAAGGAGCAGGGCGGGGCCGCGACAGAGTGGGCGGCGAGGCCGCAGGGGAGAGGGCGACTCGAGGGGTCGCTAAAAAAAATCGCGCCTCGGGGGCGCGCTTCGGTGGGCCCAAAAAAAAATAATTTCGGTCCTGGAGGGACCTAGCTCTATACCATGTGTAAATGAGTAAGCAGGAATGAAAATGACTATGGAAGATTGGGTACAAATACAACCCTAGAAACCCTGTACCCCATATGTGCTACCCCACTAAAGCCTACAGAAACTATGTCATATAAATCTGACACATGTTACCATGGATTTCGTCACGGGGTTACCTTCGAACCCTGGGGGTAACGACGCAATTATGGTCGTCGTTGACAGGTTGACGAAAATGGCTCACTTCGCTGCGTGCAAGAAATCGATCTCAGTCGAGGAAACCGCTCGCCTGTTCATCGCAGCCGTCGTTCGACTGCACGGGATACCAACCGCGATAATCAGTGACCGCGACACGAAGTTCACCAACAACTTTTGGAAGAACCTCGGGGAGCAGTTTGGGACTAGGCTATAGTTCAGCTCGTCGTACCACCCCGAGACTGACGGTCGAATGGAGCGGACGAATCAAACGATGGAACAGTGGATTCGTGCCACGCGCGACGACCCGACAACATGGGAGCAGCAGTTGCCGCTGATCGAATTCGCGTACAACAACGCAACGTCAGCGACGACGCAGCAGTCCCCCTTCTACCTGAACTACGGGCAAAACCCCACAGTGCCCATGACGCCGAGTCCGGACAACCCAACGCCACGTGCACAACAATTCGCTGACATTCTGCAAGCTGCCCGCACCAGAGCCGACGAAGCAATTAAACAAGCCAACGTCATCGCTAAGCGCAACGCTGACCGCCACCGCCGCCCAGTCACGTACTAGTCAGGAGACAACGTACTGCTCGACACCCAGAACTTAAGACTGCCTGTCGCAACGAAACTGCGACCACGCTACTGTGGACCATTCCAAATCAGCCACATGATTACCCCAGTGACAGCCCGCCTACTGTTGCCGACGGACTGGTACATCAGCCCTTCATTCCACATCAGCCTGCTTCGCCCATACATCCCAACCACAAGCCAACTGCCTCGTCATCGCCCGCCATCCATGACTCGCCCTACATCAGAGCCGATCATCTAGCCCGAAAAAATCCTAAGCCATTGGATTCGACACCCCACGGGAATCAGGAGGACTGAATTCCTCGTTCGCTGGAAGGACCCCACGCCAACTGAAGATAGCTGGGTGCCCCTGACAAACATTGAAAACCACCCTGTCAGAATGTGATGTTTGTCTAGCCTGCAGTGGGGTACTCTATAGCGAGTACAACCCGAATTAGGGTTTGCTATATGTACTCAACTGCCTGTTAGTGAAAACCATTCTAACTTTTACCTAGTCTTTCGACATGCTATTAGAGCAGGTCGACCCTCCTTAGTCGATCCTGTGGGTGGTCCCATCCGATGCTTCCGCTGCTGTCCCACCTATCGCACGCCCCGGGCACGCGATGTTTCCTGCCTACCGCGCGCTCAGGGCGCGCGGGCGCGCGGCGGTTTTCTGCCCCGTCGACCCGTGCGTCGCCCTCCGTTGCCCGACGCGGCCCGCGCGACCTGCGCTTGGCCCGCGCGCGGCCCGTACGGGCTGCGTCACGCCCGCGCGCAGCCAGTACGGGTTGTGCCAGGCCCGCGCGCGGCCCGTACAGCCCGCGCGCGGCCCGTACGGCCTGCGCCAAGCCCGCGTGCGACCCGTACGGGCTGCGCCAGGCCCGCTCGCGGCCGTACGGGCTGCGCCAGGCCCACGCGCGGCCCGGGTAGCCCGCGCGCGGTTCTTCTAGCCTGCGCCAGGCCCTTGTGCGGCCCGTACAGTCTGCCCCAGTGCCGCACGCCGTCCCCCGAGCTTCTGACCGCTCCCCACCCCCGCTGCTGCCCGCGCTCCTGTGTTAGGGTTTGGGGGTGGAGAGTATGGGGGTGCCGGGTGTGTGAGCCGTCCCTGTCAGTAGAGCTACACTGTGAGATCCCCGATCGATCCTAGGGGGGGTTACAGGCGCGTTTGCCTGGGGGGTTATGGGCGCACTGACCCGCTACTGAAACAAGCCCTTTTATCCCAATGGTCTAGTTGTTGGGATTCTGACATGGTATCAGAGCGGTCTCGGGTTCGAATCCCGGTGTATGCACATGTTGGCCGTTGCCACTGTGCTCAGTCATGGGCCTCCCAGTGTGGGGGGGTGTCAGTAGAGCTACACTGTGAGATCCCCGATCGATCCTAGGGGGGGTTACAGGCGCGTTTGCCTGGGGGGTTATGGGCGCACTGACCCGCTACTGAAACAAGCCATTTTATCCCAATGGTCTAGTGGTTGGGATTCTGACAGTCCCCTGCTCCTCCTCCGTCTCGCACTGCTATAGCTGCCGCTGAGGGGGGTGGATGTGTTGGAGCCGTCGGAGTGGTACGAGGGGGATGGCGTGTGAGCGGTGCTAGAGGTTCAACAAGGGGTGTGTAAAAGGGGTGTGGGACAGTTGGGGAGGTTGACCGGAGGTAGCCGTTGTGACGTCACCAGCGCCAGTAGTCCGGGGGTTGCGTACTTCGGTAGCCCAGCGAGCCTGTTGCTGCCAGTCGCCCGTGGGTCTGTTGCTCCTGGTGCTGTTTAGCGCGGAGCCAGTTACTCCTGTAGTCCGGAGGTTGAGTGCTCCGGTAGCCACCGTGCGTGCCGTTCCTATAGCCCGTGTATCTGCGGCTTCACCCGACGCCTCCTATCTCCACTCCTCTCATTGTTCCTCCTCCTCCTCACTTGCCCTCTGTGACTGCCTCTAGCTTTCCTTGTATTTGTGAATCTACTGCTCTGCCTGCTTGCTGTGCTGATTCTACTCCACTTTGACTATGGGGGTGTGTCAGAATGTGATGTTTGTCTAGCCTGCAGTGGGATACTCTATAGCGAGTATAGCCCGAATTAGGGTTTGCTATATGTACTCAACTGCGTGTTAGTGAAAAACATCTTTCCTGTTTCTAACTTTTGCCTAGTCTTTCGACACACCCTGCCTTGCAAGTGTACCTGAGGAGCCGGGGTTGCCACGATATACACGCACTCGCGTAGCGGAGGGGGCTTCTGGAGGGGGGGGGGGTAGTGCAAGGAATTTTCTCGATATTCCTTAGCGCGCCCTGCAACATCGCGTACAGCAGCAGCTGTTGTTCGCTCGTTACTGCTAACGGGGCTTCGCCAACTTCACGCGCACTGTTTTCACCAAATCTCGCACTGCTGGCGGCCGCGTCGGCCCAAGCTTCGGGACTAGCCCAAGCCTCGCTGCCAGCATAGCACTAGCTACCGTCATCGCTCGGATATAAGACATATATGTCTTATCTCGTACACGGGCAAAAATGCTTGAGTTATCTTGTAAACGGGATGGTTTAGGGTGTCTTATAATTCTTATAAATGGAAAAAAAAATAAGTTGACTGTGTAACACTTGCAAAGTGTGTAGAAAACACCCAGGGACCAGATTCATTGAAACAGGCCAACCTCGGTGGTGATGCAGCAAAGCTGCCACCGCTGGCAAGATTCCTCTGTGCTGGCAGCATCTAATGATGCTGCCAGCGTCGTTTTGCTGCCAGCAGCGCATGGCAGCTTCCAGAATGCTGCTGGCAGCACGTTGGCAGCGTCAGGCTGTCCTCTACGAGGAGATGCCTCGTAGAGGAGCGGCTCGGCACCTGTGGATGGGGCACTCTGGCTGGGGGGGGTAGTCGGGCTTTCACTTCATTTGGTGCTCATGGAGATTGAATTCTCACCTCAACCTTGCTCTCAGCAGGCTCTCTAACCATGCGCAGCAAGGTACCCCTAGGCAAGTCCTCACCTCGTCCTCACGTGCAGGTGAATAACTACGGGCGAATTAACTCGCCCGCCGATGACATCCGCATAGCCATGGCGAAGAACGCGAGCAAGGCGGGAAGTCCTACCGCCGCCTCCGGTGCGAGCTGTGACGGGGAAGACGGAGACGAAGCACACGGCGACGACGCCGAGGAGGATTGGCCGGAGAACGGCCACGATGAAAGCGCTTCGGGCGACGAATTTGGTACTGCCGACATCGAGGAGGACGAATGGTGGAATCAGCCGGTCGGGAGCGGCGACGAGGTGGAAGAGTGGCGGGCTGGTGATTCCGACAACGGCGGAGGTGAAGATGCTGGCGGTGACAACGCGGAGGCACAGGAAGCGGCGGTGGATGCGAATGAGGCTGCCGACGAGGCGGCGGCGGAACTCGAGACAGAGGCGCCTGCGGATGCGGACGCGGTGGCGGAGGCGAACAAGGTGGCTGCGGATGCCGTCTTATTTGAGGGTGAGGGCGACGACGACGACCCGCGGAGCCTTGGGACAGACGACGACGTTCCGCTACTGTGCTGATGTTCGTCTGTCCCTTGTGTGCCTGGCAGGAATCGTGGTCCAAGCACAGGACAACGAGTGGATGGACGAGAGCGCTGTGCAGACCTGGCTGTCCAAGGAGGTGCTTCCCCATCTGTACCCCCAACGCGGCAAGAGCGCGAGGCGTGCGATGCTGGTGTTAAACTCCTACCGCGGCCACATCACCCAGACCATGCTTCAGTCGTACCGCACGCACAGCATCACCCCTGCAGTCATTCCAGCGGGTTGTACGAGCCAGATTCAACCCCTGGACGTCTCCATCAACCGGTGCTTCAAGGCTGCCGTGCGAGCGCGCTACGCCAGGTGGTTCATGCGTGAAGGGATTCACCTGAAGACGAAGAAGGGTGAGCTGGCTGTTCATTTTAAATTCCTGCTCTGTTTCGTGTCCTTATCGTTAACATCTCGCTGATGTGTCCTCTGTCCCACCAGCAGGGAACCTGCGGAGGCCTCCGCACCCCGTGGTGCTGCAGTGGATCGCGGAGGCTTGGGATCAAGTCCCCAGGCAGATCATCATCGACGCGTTCCGCCACTGTGGGATCTCCAGCAAGCTGGACGGAACGGAGAACCAACTGGTGATGTCTCAGCTGCGCGCCAGGAGCACCACCGATGTCTCCGAGGACATGTCCCTCGGGGGGACCACAGGCGACAACGCGCGCCTGCTTCGGAAGGCTCCAAAGGAGGAGGAGGAGGAGGAGGAGGAGGAGGAGGAGGAGGAGGAGGAGGAGGAGGAGGAGGAGGAGGAGGAGGAGGAGGAGGAGGAGGAGGAGGAGGAGGAGGAGGAGGAGGCGATGCAGGCGGAGGGCGTGCGGGAGGTGGCCGTGGCAACTGGCCTGGAGGTGCTGTACCAAGAGACCCCCAACTACCGCAGAGCGGCAGCCGAGGCTGACCGCATGATCGAGCCAATTGAGACGGCTAGGCATGCCTGGCGAGTGCCAGATCTGAGCGTAGAGCCTGTTGCTAGTGCTGCAGAGGAGGCGGTTACTGAGGGGGGTTAGGTAGAAGTAGTGATTCATGAATGTATGGATGTACCCCCCTAAAGTAGTGTAGGCTCGTTTAGAAGACACCCCCTGTTTATAAGAAAACCCCTAAACCCCGGTTCTGATTATAAGACATATATGTCTTATCTCGTACACACGAATAGGTGTCGTATAAAAAGGCTAGCCTGTTTATAAGAGACACCCGTATAGTAGACAACCCCTGTCTACTATTCAACACTGTCTTATATCCGGGCGATGACAGTAGCTCGCACGCACCGCGCTATCGTTTGCATGTTTCGCGTATAAATGTTCGCTCATGCCTTCGCTCACATTTTGTACTCATTTGACACCTCAGTGCAATCCTCGCTATTTCGATCCATTGCACCCGTAACAATATACAAAATCATATGGTGGTTGTAAAACAGCATCAATTTCAGGGAGACTTGAAAAAATAAAGACAAAAGAAAGTATATTGCACAGGTACCGTAAGTGCCTCCCGTCAAGCACCACAAAGTGACGGAACTAATGATTGTAACGAGCACAGTGATCCAAGTGAGCAGTCAAGTCAGCAGCAGACGTGGCAAGATAACCATGACATACAGGACAATGCAAAGGAGCAACTCCAACCCCCCCACCACCACTCCCATCAAAACCTCCATCCTCCTCCCCAACACCATGCACATGCATACCATATCCACCCATCATCATCCCACCTGGCGCCATCCCAACAGTCACACCATGTACACCCGTTTCCCCCATACCTGCCCACACCCCTCCCGCTACCCCCGCTACAACTGCAGTACCACCTACCATACCATCACTCACACAGGACCACATACCTGAACCAGCATGCCCTCCCATACCTGCCCAAGGGGCTGCCGAACCTGCATACCCCTCCGGGGAACTCCAGCCAGCTGAAGCGGCAGCTTCCGGACCAAGCACGACAGCCCCGGGCCAGGCTTCCGGACCAGCCGAACCTCCAGGATGGGAAGGAACACTGGACCACATCTCAGGCACGGCATGGGCTCCAAAAGTAGCCCCGGTGTAATGGACAGAAGCAGCTGCAGCAGCAGAGGGGGCAGGCGCAGCAGCAGCGGCAACAGAAGGAACAGCAGCGGCAGCTGTAGCAGTGACAGGTGTTACTCCCATCTGCCAAGGTGGAAGAGCAACTGGCAGCCCTGACTGCACTGAGTGTGCTGAGTGTGGGGCAGGAGGGGACCCAACCATGCCATGCCATACAGCAGGAGGAGGAGAGGTCACCATGCCATGCCATGCGGCATGAGACCAAGCCATGCCACCTGCATGACCACCCATGCCTTGCATCCTGCTGCCACCTGCCATGGCTACTTCCGAGCCTGTTGTCCTGTTAGACTCGTATGCTGCCATGCCAGCCACCATACCTGCTGCCATGCCTGCTGCCATGCCTGCCGCCGTACCTGCTGCCATGCCAGCTGGCATAATGTCCGTTCCGCTTTCATACCCCCCACGTCCGTACCCACTGCTGCTGCTCATTCCTGCTCCTGCTGGCACACCTGATACTCTCAGCCCTGCACTCTGCTGCCGCTCCCACTCCTCCATCCCACCAGAAACCTCTCCTGCTGCACTCTGTGGTCCCTGCCATTCCTCTGCCCCTGCTCTCAAAGATGTGCCAGCTGGATTCGTCCCGTCCTGCTTGGAGATTGAGGGAACCATTGCTGTGGCTGCTGCTGGTGCTGCCGGTGCTGGTGCGACTGCTGCTGTTGCCGCTGCTGCTGTTGCTGTTGCTGTTGCTGCTGGTGCTGGTGCTGCCGGTGCTCCTGCCTTTTCAGCAGGTGTGTTGGGAGCACTGCTTGAAGCAATCACTGCACGGTTTGCTGCGGGAGAAGCATTGGCAGCAGCAGCAGCAGCAGCAGCACTGGCAAAAGTGACAGCAGTAGCAGAAGGAGCAGCGGGGAAGGGAGCAAATGAGCGTGTGTGGGGAGGCGGTGGAGAGATGAAGGCAGAGGAAGGAGTGAAAGGAGCGGAATGGAGAGAGAGCTTGGAGGGTGTAAATGCAGGGGAGGCGGAACGGAGAGGGGCAGATGGCACAGTGGTGTGTGAGGAGGAGAGTGTGGAGTGAGAGGAGAGAGAGTAGTGTGAGGAATGGGACGAGGGAAGTGAGGGATGGTTGGAGGGCAGAGAGGAGGCAGAGGAGGAAGGAACAAAGGTGGGAGCAGTAGGGGAGATGAAGCGAGGGGGTATGACAGCCTTGGGGCGAAACGGGACTGCTCCAGCTGCTTTGGCGAGTGAGCTCTTAGAGAGGATAAACGAGGCTGGGTTGCTGCCGCTACTGCTGCTGCTGCTGTTGCTAATGCTTCTGCTGCTGATGCTCCTGCTGCTGCCAGTGATGTTATCATGATGGCTACGGTTATGCCTTGCAATGTTCACTCTGGCACTGCTGCTGCTGCTGTTGTTGCTGTTGCTGCTGCTGTTGCTGCTGATGTTGATGCTACGGTTGGTGATATCCCTGCCGCTGCTGTAGCTATAGCTGCCTGTGCTTCCCCGTGGGCCGTTTCTTGAAAAGGCTGTGCTGCTGTGTGTGCTGCTAAGATCAGAATTTTCACCTGCTCGCACCATCCCACCAGTTGGCTTTTGAAATGCCTCAGCATTAGCTGCTGCTGCAGCACCATAGACCACGTGAGACGTCAACCCCTCGTAATACATGGCTGGTTGCGTTTGCTCCGTTTGCTCCTCCCCCCCTTCCTCCTCTCCTCCCTCCTCCCCTCCCCACTGGCTCCTATAGTACACCATACCATCGTTAGAACCAATCTTTTGAGTCCACTCAAAAGTCAACTCGTTAGAACCAATCTCCAGGCCGTTAACCATTCTTGAGTCACCCACACCCCCTGCATCCCCTGCCATGCCCCCTCCATCCCCAAACAGCCCAACCATGCCCCCTGCTCCCACTCCTTCTGCTCCCAATCCTCCTGCTCCCATTCCTCCTGCTCCCACTCCTCCTGCTCCCACTCCTCCTGCTCCCATTCCTCCTATACCTCCCACTCCTCCTGCTCCCATTCCTCCTATACCTCCCACGCCCCCTGCATCCCCTGCCGTGCTCTCACCACCCCCAAACAGCCGCCTTACAGGCCCCTGGCGGATGGCAATCGGTGGTGGGGAGTCGAGGGTTGATGGGAGAAACACACCTCCCCCCAAATCATCCCCCAAATCATCCCCCAACTCATGCCCCAACTCATGCCCCACGTCATGCCCTACGTCATGCCCCACGTCAGGCCCTACGTCATGCCCTACGTCATGCCCTACGTCATGCCCTACGTCATGCCCTACGTCATGCCCCACGTCATGCCCCGAGGCTAGACCTTGCCCAGAGACAGATAAGGGAGCAAAGGCAGACGAACTGGTAGAAACAACAGAGATAGAGGAGGGGACGAAGGCAGAGGCAGTGGCAGCAGAGGAGGAGAGGGAGGAGGCAGGTGCAGCAGCAGGAGAAGCGGTGGGAGGGGCCTTGAAAGCTGTAGCAAGGGAGCCAGAACACATAGCATCTGTAGCATGGGAATCAGCAACCCTGGCAGCTGTGGCAACCACAGGCAATGAGGAGGGGACGAAGGCAGAGGCAGTGGCAGCAGAGGAGGAGAGGGAGGAGGCAGGTGCAGCAGCAGGAGAAGCGGTGGGAGGGGCCTTGAAAGCTGTAGCAAGGGAGCCAGAACACATAGCAGCTGTAGCATGGGAATCAGCAACCCTGGCAGCTGTGGCAACCACAGGCAATGAGGAGGGGACGAAGGCAGCGGCAGTGGCAGCAGAGGTGGAGAGGGAGGCGGCAGGGGCAGCAGCAGGGGAAGCAGAAACTCCAGCAGATGTGGCAGGTGAATCGGAGATTGTAGGAGGTGTAACAAGGGAATCGGAATTCTTAGCAGCTGTAGAAAGGAAAGAGGAAACCCTAGAGGCTGTAGCACGGGAAGCAGAAACCATTCTTGCTGTCGCACGGGAATTGGTAAATATAGCAGCTGTAGCAGCAGTAGCAGCTGTAGCAGCAGTAGCAGCTGTAGCCGCTACAGCAGCACCAGCAGGCTTAAAGTCAGGAGCATTGAGCTTGGGTTTGAATTCCGGGGCTGATATTGCACTGGCTAGGGACGCCGAAGCAGCGAGGGAGGTTCGGAGAGAGTAGGTTGGAGATGGAGAGGTTCGAGATGGGGATGTGGCACGTTGAGGAAGCTTCCAGGAGGCTGCAGCAGTGAAAGAAGCAGCATCAGCAGGAGGAGCAGAGGGGGGAGGTGAGGTGAAGGAAGAAGCAGAGGCGGAGGGGGATTTGAAGAGAGAGGAGGGGGGAAGGGGAGAGGAAGAGCGAGCAGGAGAAGGGGAGGAGGAGCGGATTGGAATGTGGGGAGAAGGGGACAGCGATCGACCAATAGCGCCCGGGGTAGCATAAGAAGCTATAGCGGGCGTGACTGTAGAGAGGGATGCTGATGCTGGCGTGGCGGGCAGTGACGGGATGAACTCGCCAGCTGTCGCCGAGAGAGTGGTGGCACGAATCGCTGCAGATGTGGAGCTTGCTGACGTGGCAGACGGGCCTCCGGGAGGGAGTGAGGAGGATGAGAGGGAGGAGGTGATATGGTGGGATTTGGAGGAGGGGAGTGTGGCAATGGAGAGGGAGGAGGAGGAGGAGGAGGAGGAGGAGGAGGAGGAGGAGGAGGAGGAGGAGGAGGAGGAGGAGGAGGAGGAGGAGGAGGAGGAGGAGGAGGAGTGGGAGGAGGGACGGCCAGGGAGCGAGATGGAAGTGGGAAGAGAAGGGCGAAGGGAATGGAAGGAAGGGAGAAAGGAGGGGGACTGAGACGATCGTGGAGGAGGGGAGTTGGGAAGGCTATGTGTCACCTTAGAAACATGACTCTCCCTGCCGCTGCCTAGACTGCTGCCGCTCGCACTGCTGTTGAAACTGTTGCTCTTAATGCCACTCCTGGTGTCACTGCTGCTGCTGCTGCTGCTGTTGCTGTTGCTGTTGCTGTTGTTGGCAGTGCTGCTGATCGTGCTGGGTTTGCTATCAGCGTTATTCAAGGCAGCATTAGTCAGCTTATTCTCTGGCCCGTCAGGAGCACCGGGCTCTGTCACTGCTGCTGGTCATCATCATGTCAATCAAGGTTACAAAAAAAGGGGGGGAGATGGAGAGACTTTTGAGTCGACTCGAAAAGGGAGGAGATGGAGAGAGAGAGAGAGTGGGGGGGACAGGGTGGGGAGGATGCGGGGAGAGAGACAAACAGACAGAAAAGAGAGCACACTCGGTGCAGCAGACTATGTGGAGCATTATAATGAGGATGAAAGTGCACTCTCCTTGTGAGTGCGTCTCAGGGAGTGGTAGGAGGGAGATGGAGAGAGGGGGAAGGAGAGAAGGAGAGGGAGATGATGGGAGGAGGGGACATACTGGGGGAAACTGCATTGGCAGCAAGCAGCCATGACATAGACTCACCTGCTAGTGCCGCCGCCACAGGTGCTTCAGTGTTACCAGCAGAGCTAGCACTTGCTGCTGGTGGTTTCTCCTCTGAGACGCCTTAGAGAGACTGGGAAGGAGGGGCTACACGAAGCAGCAACCATGGGATGGGACTCACCGTCTAGTGCCGCCGCCACAGGTGCTTCAGTGTTACCAGCAGAGCTAGCACTTGCTGCTGGTTGCTCCTCTGCACTGCCTTCTCTAAATAACACCTCCCCTCCACCTTCCTCAGAGAGCTCCTCCCCTCCACCTTTCTGAGATAGCAGCTTCTTTCCACCTCTCCCAAACAACACCTCCCCTCCACCTTCCTTAGATAATACCTCCCCTCCACGTCCCACTGGACCCAGCCACAGCTTCTGAGATGCGGGCTCGATACTTGCTGCAGCAAATTGAGGAGGGGAGGTAAGAGGGCTCCAGATGGAAGGAGAGGAGGGGAGGAGCGGAAGAGCAGAGGCAGAGAAAGCACGGGCAACATGTGTGTGCTGGTGCTGGTGGTGCCACTTCGTAAGGTGGCTGCTCAGTCCAGAAGGAGGGGCAGAAGCAGAAGCAGCGACAGCAGCAGGGGCTGCACCAGTGGTTGCAGCAGTGGCAGCAGCAGTGGCAGCAGCAGTGGCAGAAGCGGGGGCAAAGGAGGGAGGTTGGGTGGAAAGCAGAGAGGAGAAGGAGGCAGCATGGGGCACTGGGGCATCTCCGGCTATCCACGCCCACACTGCCTCGTGGTCATTCTCATGCAGCTCATATATACCACCCTTATTTCCAGCACTAGCAGCACCACCATCGCCACCACCAGGGCCAGCACCAGCGCCAGCACCATCACCGCCACTAGAACCACCACCACTAGCACCACCAGTATCACCACCACCACCACTAGCACCACCAGTATCACCACCACTAGCCCCAGAAGGTACAGAAGCAGCAACAGCAGCCGCAGCAGTAGGGTCACCCGAGCTACCACCACCACCGCCTTTGCTGGTATTGCTACTCCCCTCATCAGCAGCAGCACTAGCACCACCACAATCACCACCACTACCAGCACCGCCTTTGCTGGTACTGCTGCACCCCTCACCAGCAGCAGCACTAGCACCACCACAATTAGCACCAGCACCAGCACCAGCATTCCTACAGACCTCAGAATCCCTGCAAACCCCAGCATTTCCACACGCCCCTGTATTTCCAGCAGCAGCACAGCCCGAGGCAGCAAAGAGGGAGGAGAATCTACTCTGAGTGCGCCTGGCAGCAGCCACAATCTCCCCCGCTCGCTTCATCTCATCTTCTGTCCACCCCACTCCCACCCCTGCCACCACCCCCGCCGCTGCCACCGCCGCTGCCGCTGCTGCTGCCGCTGCTTGCTGCTGCTGCAGCAGATGCAGTGAAGCCCCTGCGTTTTCCTGTGGCTGATCTAATGTGCCTGTCTGCTGCTGTGGGCCGGTCTGCAATTCCGACCCTGCACCTGTGTGTGTCTCTGACTGTGCACGTGTGCTGCCCGCCCTTTGAAGCGTGGCACTCTCTTCACTGCAGCCTTTGGTCCTGCTGCTGATGGTGCTGCTGCTGCTGCTGCTGCTGCTGCTGGTGCTGGTGCTGGTGCTGCTGCTGCTGCTGCTGCTGCTGCTGCTGCTGCTGCTGCTGCTGCTGCTGCAAGTATTAATGTCATTGGAAGCGGTGCTGCTGCTTGAAGCTGTGGTGGTGATGTTCGCAGTACTAGTAGCGTCTGAATGGTTCATAACACACATAGATGAAAGTGGGATGAAAGCTGGGGGAGCGGTGGAGGTGGAGGAGGAGGAGTTTTGAGGCGCCTCAAAATTGAAAGCTGGGGGAGAGGTGGAGGTGGAGGAGGAGGAGGAGGAGGAGGAGGAGGAGGAGGAGGAGGAGGAGGAGGAGGAGGAGGAGGAGGAGGAGGAGGAGGAGGAGGAGGAGGAGGAGGAGGAGGAGGAGGAGGAGGAGGAGGAGGAGGAGGAGGAGGAGGAGGAGGATGAGGAGGAGGAGGAGGAGGAGGAGGATGAGGAGGAGGAGGAGGAGGAGGAGGAGGAGGAGGAGGAGGAGGAGGAGGAGGAGGAGGAGGAGGAGGAGGAGGAGGAGGAGGAGGAGGAGGAGGAGGAGGAAGAAGAGGAGGAAGAAGCAGTGTCATCAGCAGCCGCAGCATTTGCAGCAGTTCCAGCTGTCTCAGAAGCCCCAGCAGCAGGCACAACAGCACCAGTAGCTGCTGCAGGAGAGCCTGAACCAGGCACACGCATTGCAGCAGCCCCAACCGTCCCAGCAGTCCCAGCAGCAGCTGCAGCACTGGCAGCACTTGCAGCAGTCCCAGCAGCAGCCACAACAGCTCCAGAAGCAGCTGCAGCAGTGTCTGAACCCGACAAGCTTGCCGTGGCAGCCCCAACCGTCCCAGCAGTCCCAGCAGTCCCAGCAGCAGCCACAATAGCTCCCAGGCCTACCCCAACTATCTCTGCACCGGCAACCAGGGCATTACTGCTACCTGCCACGCTAACACCAGCAGCAGAACGCACCAAACCACCACCAACCACACCAGCAGCAGCAGCAGAACCCACCAAACCACCACCGGCCATACCAGCAGCAGAGCTCATCAGCCCAGCAGCTCCCCTCCTTGCAGCAGACCCCATAAGAGGCATCGCCCCTGGCCCTAACGCACCAACAGACCCTGCCAGTATCCCACCGTTGATACTCCCACCACTAACACCACTACCACCGCCAGCCCCACTCACAACCCCTCCGCGCCCTACCAGTCCCACTCCTCCCAGCCCCACTCCACCTCCCAGTACCACTCCGCTTCCCAGTCCCACTCCTCCCAACCCCACTCCACCTCCCAGCAGCGGCCAAGGAGCGGCCAGCACGCCATCTCCTGTCACTCTGATGCGGGCGGGCAGGGAGGCCACCAGAATCGCCCCTCGCAGCCCTGGCTGCAGCATCACAGGGCCCACCTGTGCGAAACTCGCCCCTCCCTGTGCGAAATTCGCCCCTCCCTGTGCGAAATTCGCCCCTCCCTGCGCGAAATTCACCCCTCCCTGCCCTTGCGCCTGCCCCTGTGCTCCCTGTCCCTGCCCGTGCCCTCCCTGCCCCTGCTCCTGCGTTTGTCCCTGCCCCTGCGCCAGCACCTGACCATGCACCTGACCGTTCACCTGACCTGGGCGCCTGGTTTGCCCCGCGGCTACAGATGCTAGAGCCCGCTCCACAGCAGCGGTTGTAGCGGCGGGGACTGTAGCAGTAAGCACTCCGGCTGGTGGTGGGTGAACGTGGTTACTGGCTGAGGGTGTGAGGGAATAGGTCGAGGAGGTAGTAGAGGAGGAGGAAGGAGAAGAGGAAGAGATAGAAGAGGCTGTAGCAGGAGAAGAGGCAGCTGAATGGGCTGTAGCCGTACTCATTGAGGTTCCAGGATTGATTGGAATAGAAGAGGCTGATGCAGTTGAAGGTGTTAGGGAGGAAATAGAGGAAGAGGAGGAGGAGGAATAGGAGGAGGAGGAGGAGGAGGAGGAGGAGGAGGAGGAGGAGGAGGAGGAGGAGGAGGAGGAGGAGGAGGAGGAGGAGGAGGAGGAGGAGGAGGATGAGGAGGAGGAGGAGGAGGAGGAGGAGGAGGAGGAGGAGGAGGAGGAGGAAGAAGAAGAAGAAGGGAGCGGATGGTGCAGTGGGGAGTTGAGAGGTGCGTGAGGGCCCAACAGGGATGACGTGGATCCCAGCAGGGATGACGTGGATCCTAATAAGGATGACGTGGACACCCAGGAGAGGGGTGAGTGGTTGAGATACGATGGTCTTTCCCACACGGTCTTATGCGATGCTGCAGTGCACATGCACACAGAGAGAAGGGATGGGCGGGGGGGAATACATGGAGAGAGCGAGAGAGGGGGGAGGGAAGGGGGAAGGAGGAGAGGAAGGGTGGGTTGGACGGTATTTGCACAACAGCAAGCTGTATGATGTGATGTGAAACTTGACTCGAGTTAAACTGCAAGCTCAGAGAAAACAGCCACCGTAAAGACTGTAGGTGTTGAGACGCGTGGAAAAGCAGCTGAAGCGACTTCAGGATGCCAGGATATGAACATCAGAAACGAACTTTGAGAAGGATGTGCAGAAGAAGGGGGGAGGGGAAACTGTGGTGGAGGGGGCGCAGAGGAGGGTTGCGCGGAAAGAGAGAGAGCGGGTGGATGCAGAGCGGTTGAGATGCATACGGGTGAGTGGAGAGGAGGGCGAGAGCTGCATGAGAGGTGAACAGGAGTTAACTTTGGAGTCGACTCAAAAGTCAACGAGAGTGGGATGCATACATACCAGTGAGTGGAGAGGAGGGAGAGAGCTGCATGAGAGGCGAAGACGCCATGGCTGAAATCGGTGGGTTGAACCCCCTCATTCCTCCCATCATCCCACCAAAACCACTGCCAATACCAGCGAAAGCAGCACCAGCAGCCCCAACAGCAACCCCTCCCCCAGTCCCCACCCCAGCACCACCAACAGCAGCAGCAGCAGCAGCAGCAGCAGCAGCAGCAATGCCGTTAGTAGAGCCAGCGAGGATATCAGCCCGGCCAGTCCCACCACTTCCGGTAAGCTTGCCGGGACCAACGGACGTTCGCACTACCACCACCCCTCCTCCTCCTCCCCAGCTGCCTCCGCCCCCATACCCCACAACTACACTCCCCCCTCCTCCTCCTCGACCCCTCTCTCCCGCTTTCCCGCTGCTCTCCAGCCCGCCGCTGCCACCTGTCACTCGCCCATTGGCTGCACCCTTCACTTTCTTTCCAGTTGCCGCTCTGGCTGTTGCGGCTGGCTTATCAGCAGCGGACGGGGAGGGAGGTTGGGGGACGCCGTAGGGGGTTCGGCAGCTGGGGCAGAGGCTGTTGAGTTCGAGCTTGATACGCTCGTAGCAGAAGAGACACACGCGGTACCTGACGGCCAGGAGAAGAGGGTGAGGCAGTGGGGAAGGGAAACGGGAGCATGGGAAGTTAGAGTTAGCGAGGATGTTTTTTTGCCCGTAGAACAAGAAAAATGAAGGAAGCAAGTTAAGGAATGGACTTTTGATAAATGAAAAAAAGGGAAACAAGGCAACTACTGCGACTGTGAAATGCCCCAGAGTTGACCAGACGAGGGGTGTACCTATCATCAGTCTTCGCTTCACCCCATAGACTCGTAAGAAATATAAGCAGGTTTGGATTGTGATGTGACCTAACCCGCACTTACCAGTGAAGCCGGAGTGTAACCAGTGTGAGTCATTGAGACAAAGACACGGCTGCACGGGCCAGGGCTCTGTGGCCGTGCAATGTCAGCAGCCAGACTCAAAATCCCCGCCAAGAACTACCTCACGCAGCTCACTTCGCGCTCCTCATTCGCTCTGTAATACATATAAAAATCTTTGCAATGTAGCGAAAGCGCTGACGGAGATTTACCCGCAAGGGCAGGGTCGAAATCGGACTTCAGTTTCGTCGAGATGCTCGATGCAGAGCGGACAAACGGGATCCTCCTCCTCCTCTTCCGCCTCTTCCGCCTCCCCCTCATCCTGCACGCCCTTATCCGCTTCCAATATTTCCTTCCAGTTCTCCCTCTCATGCTTTCCGTCTCTGTGAATCCAGTCGCGATCAACGCCGGACCATTCTACGCCGTACGATGATGATATCCGGGACATAGACGCTCCGGGTTTCGCGGCGGCTGGTACGGTGACCCGTTTAGGGCCGAAGACTTTGGACATGGTCTAGAGTGTGCATGAATAGGATACTAACGAGCAGCCAATCTCTAGTCGACTCAAAAGCCGGGAAATTTGGACATGGTCTTGAGCGTGCACGGACAGGGTTGGAAGCGGTTGAGTCGGGTGTCAGCCTGGGGATAAGAAAGACGGAACAGTCATTGTATTATCAGGCAATTATAATGAAAATCAGGAACCTGCGGTGGTCAGAAGGGTGTTATTGCTGAACTCTCTTAGCGAACTTGAAAACTCATGGACAGGTAGGAGGTAGTGGAAAAGCGTTCAGCTAGTAAGGGGTTGCGAAGTGAATAAAGTCTTGAGACATGGAATGTGGATGAAGCAGAGAAGGGTTACAGGCCAAGGACGAATAAGAGCTCGTGGTTGTGGAATGGCGGAACCTGAGGATGCTAGTAACGCGGAAAAGTGACAAGTTTTGCGTGAAGAAGAACGGAGAGTGCTCTTTATTCTATTCCACGTCGTCAGGCTGGCGGACCTTCCATATAGAAAGCTAGTACCTTAAATACACGCCACGAAAGCCGCGAGATTAAGGTATAAAATGCACGTGGTAAAGCCCCAGCCAAGAATGTAACCAATGGGGTGACGACAGGCCAACCCGCTGCGAGGACATGAGGCCCCTGTGATTGGCGTCCCAGAGAGAGCGTTGGACCCTCGATGCCTCTGATTGGTAGTCAGGACACAAATGGAGTGTGCATAATACTAACGGAAGGTGAACTGCAGTGGTAAAGATGAAATTTAGTGTTGTGGATTGAGCAAGACAGACACTTTCTCCCTTTCCCACCTTAGCAGTATTTTTTCGTTTAGTAATGCGGTTGAGTACTCTGATGTGCATTTAAGAGCGGTTTATATGCTTTGACCCGCACTAGTCAGGAGTGTGAACAAGGGGATACATGAACTGTAAATGCACACACTCTGTGGCCCCACTCTTATCATATGTTCCGCGTGTTAGTCCGTTGATGGTACGTTGCGGTTCCGCGCGTTAGGGCACGGTAAAACGCGGTTTTGACAAGTTACTGCTTTGGACCGTATAGAACCGAACAAAACCGTTTTCTATGCATTTAGATTGAATAGGCGGGATAGCTCCTAGCGCACCGTCCCGCCAGCAACCGCGCGACGCCCTGCGAAAACCAATCTCAAGGTTGCGTGATGGAAATTGTCCGCCCATCAAATCCAGCGGAGGTTCAACCAATCAGCTCGCAGTCTGCTCCGCCCTCGTGTATTTGGCGGCATTATCAAAAGTTCCTCGGACACCCTCAAGCTTGGAGATTTGGGAGGAGGAACGAGTGATGGAGAACAGTGCGGACTCATGGTTCGGGCAGGCCTTGTTTCGCTGGCTCTTACGATTGGCAGACGACGACACTGATGAAATCGCTGATACCGCAGGCGAAAAACTATGTGAAGTTGTATCATGCACTGATTGGCCGCGATCGGACGCGTCACCATCAATGGATGAGCCAGCGCAAGTTCAGAAGCCAATCAGGTGTAGTACGAACCAGAAGGAATGCGCAGCGCACCAAATCATCGGAAGAGGGTTTTGAAGGGTGGTGCACAGTACAGTAAAAGTACTTTAATTAATGCATATACATCCCCCTAGTTCCAGGCTTGCTTGGTCTGATCTCCCATCCAATAGAGCACAGCCATAGAAAAACTGCAGCATAACACTTCTTACATACGGCGCACAATTCGTCACGTGCATTTATACCGCAATTGGGATTTACATTAGAACCAACAACCCTCGACACCCATGCCACTACCTACTAACACCTTAGAATTCTTTACAGAACTAATAAGCTCACACTACACCCCTCCATGTACACCATCCTCTAGTCATCTCCCCCACTCCCTCACTCCCTAACTCCTTCACACTGCACACATCCGGCCCGCTGCAGAACATATCCACCACCCCTCCAGTATCCACTCATCATCTCCCCCACTCCCTCACTCCCTCACACTCCCTCCCTCACACCTCACACATCCGGTCCACTGCCAAACATGTCCACCATCCCTCGGAACACCTGGGCTGACAGCTCACTCGCCTCCACCAGTTCACCATCCACATTCCAAAAGCCCTGCTCCCCCATGGCCTTGAATGTGAACGCTGGGGTCTGGGGGTGGGGGAGGGGAAGAGATAAGGTGGGAGAGGGGTAAGGAGTTGGGGGAAGGGAGGGAACACCTGGACCAACAGCTCACTCGCCTCCACCAGTTGGTCATCCACATTCGAAAAGCGCTGTGCCCCCATGGCCTTGAATGTGAACGCTGGGGTGTGTAGGAGTGGGGAGAGAGGGAGTATGGGAGGGGAAAGTGGGGATGATGGAGGAGAGAGAGTGGAAGGGAAACAATCGACATGGTATGAGATGATTTGAGATGGCGTGCAGCTTTGTGCACTGCAAAACATCCGTCTGTGAGGATAGGTACGATGCAAAATGGTGTGGGACGGTGTGAAACGGTGCAAAGCTGTGGAGCAAGCGAGTGAAAACTAAACACACCTTGTGGTGTTGGACAACGTGGAAGTCGAGGGGATCTGCGCCCTTGATGGTCAGACACAGCAGCAGCTGAGAAGCGGTGTAAGTCAGTGCGTAACGGTGTGAGGAGACGCGATCTGGTGTGAGTGGGTATGAGGCGGTGTGAAGCGGTGCTGTGAGTGAGAATCAGACCCACCTTGTGGTGCTGGACGAAGTGGAAGTCGAGGGGATCAGCTCCCTTGATGGCCAGACACAGCAGCTGCCTGCGAGTGGGTGGATAGATGGACGGACAGATTAATACATGGTCTGTATTGAGACCTTATAACAGATGGATACACAGTTTGAAATCTTCTAAGAATGGATCTGCACCCTTGACAGCCAGACACAGTGCAAGACATCTATACTATATCACAAATACACTCAACAAATGAGCGAAAAGTATTGGAAGGAAGAAAAACACTCACTGGAGGTGTCCTGCGCGCGAGCACTCGCGGATCATGAAGATGTTCAAACACAAACACCTACCACTCATTGACTAGACATAACCAGTGTCACGCTGGAGGTACTCGAAATTCCGTTACTCACTGGAGGTATTCTGCGTGCGAGCACTCGCGGATCATGATGAGGTTCAGATTCTCATCCGCCAGGCGGGCGTGTGCAGGGATTGCTGCAGCGAACGTCAGTACTGGTGACTAGTGGAGGTAAAAGCTACTCACTGGAGGTATTCGGCACGTGAGCACTCGCGGATCATGATGAGGTTGAGATTCCCATCCGCCAGGTGGGCGTGTGCCGCGACGCCATCTGGCGCCTTGTCATTGCGGCAAGAGATCACCGCGCCGCCCACGCTGTGAAACCGGCCTCTCACGGTGCGCCAGCCTGGCGTCGCCTCGTCCCAGGTCAGCGGCTGCGGCGAATCCGCCGCTGCCACGTCAGCATCAGCAGCTTCTAGGGGAGGAGGTGAGAAGAGCCTGTGCTTATCAGCTTCTGTGGCTGTAGCAGCAGCAGCATCAGGAGCGGCGGGAGGAGGGTGATAGGAAGGCGAAACAGCAGCGGCATCAGGAGCAGCATCCACAGCAGCAGAATCACCAGTAGTGCGGTTGAGAGGGGTGAGAAGGGAGGCCAGACCCACAGCTGACTGCGATGGGCCTCTGGCCTCGAATCCCAGGGCAGATCGCGTCAGCAGCGAGAGATCCTGGCCGTTGGCGCATACCGAGCATCCAGCGGTGCAGATTTCTGCACGGGTCGTGGGGCTGAAGGAAAGGGGCAGGACGCAAAGTAAATGATGGGGATCGGTGAAGGGAGGATGCAGGAAAGGAAAATGAGAAGGTTTGTGATTACCAACGACCTGGATGGCTTTGGTGGTTGAGATTGAAGACGTCTTTAAACTGAAAGGCGTCAAGTGATTAACTGGTATTTGAGGCGAGGGAGGAGAGGAGCAGGGAGGGATAAGGAAGAGCGAAACGGGGAAAGGTAAGGCAGCAAAGGCAGGGCGTGAAAGGCAGTGGCATAAAGGGGTGGGAAGGCAGTGTGATGGGTGGGTTACCTTTTTCTGTGCATGGACGGTAGGTCTGGCTCAGGCACGTGGAAGAATGACACCTCTGCTTCGTACGACCTGAATCAGGGACAAAGGAGGGGAGAAGGAGAGGAAAGGAGGGATTGGTGGTGGCAGGGAGGAGGGTTTGCAGGTTGGTCTGGCTCAGGCACGTGGCAGAATGACACCTCTGCTTCGTATGACCTGGTTGGGGGGGAGGGAAAAGAGGCAGGACAACAGGGGCAGGAGAATAAAAGGATGGGCAGGAAGAGAGTTGAGTTACCCTCTTGTGTGCATGGAGAGTCGGTCTGGCTCAGGCACGTGGGCGAATGAAACCTCTGCTTCGTATGACCTGGTTGGGGGGAGGACAGGGGAGAGGGAGAGCATATGAGTGGCATATGAGGAGCATATAAGGGGGATATGAGGGGGAAATGACAGGCATATGAACGGCATATGAGGAGCATATAAGGGGGATATGAGGGGGGGAATGACAGGCATATGAAGGGCATATGACATGTCCTGAACCCCACGGTCATGTGAGGCAGAACCCCATCCCACCTGAACACTCACCTGAACACTCACCTGAACACTCACCTGAACACTCACCTGCACACTCACCTGCGCACTCACCTGAACACTCACCTGCACACTCACCTGAACACTCATCTGCACACTCACCTGCACACTCACCTGCACACTCACCTGCACACTCACCTGCACACTCACCTGCACACTCACCTGAACACTCACCTGCACACTCACCTGAACACTCACCTGCACACTCACCTGCACACTCACCTGAACACTCATCTGCACACTCACCTGCACACTCACCTGCACACTCACCTGCACACTCACCTGCACACTCACCTGCACACTCACCTGCACACTCACCTGCACACTCACCTGAACACTCACCTGCACACTCACCTGCACACTCACCTGCACACTCACCTGCACACTCACCTGCACCTGTACACTCACCTGCAGACTCACCTGCACACTCACCTGCACACTCACCTGCACACTCACCTGCACACTCACCTGCACACTCACCTGCACACTCACCTGCACACTCACCTGCACACTCACCTGCACACTCACCTGAACACTCACCTGAACACTCACCTGCACACTCACCTGCACACTCACCTGCACACTCACCTGAACACTCACCTGAACACTCACCTGCACACTCACCTGCACACTCACCTGCACACTCACCTGCACACTCACCTGCACACTCACCTGCACACTCACCTGCACACTCACCTGCACACTCACCTGAACACTCACCTGCACACTCACCTGCACACTCACCTGAGCACGAATCTATGCAACTGATGTTTCGCATCCACCTCTGCCGCACCCAACCACCCACCCACACACCCACCTGTGGCACATGTAAGTCATGAACCCCGCATAGTCGTATCTGGCAGGTCCCATCCCATCCCCACATGCATTTGATCCCCCACATCACATTGTTCCCTCCACTCACACGCATATGTCACTCCCGCCCACCCACCTGTGGCGCATGTACGTCATAAACCCTGCATAGTCGTATCTGGCAGGTCCCATCCACCTCAGCGTCTCACTCTCCTTTGTCACCGCGCCATAGAATCCGTACCTGGGGAGGGGAAGGAGGTTGGGAGAAGGGGGGAAGGAGGTGGGGGAAAGTCGGGGGGTTGGAGATGTCTTAAAATCTGGTCAACGGAAAGGGACAGGTAGGGGAACGATGAAAGGGGCAGGAAGAGGGGCAGGGGTAGGGGTAGGAAGGAACGATGAAGAAAGGAGGGACAGGTAGTGTTGTTATTTGCTTGTGTGTTTATGAGTTACGGGTGTACACATTAGGGGACAAGGTAATTTACCCGAAGAATGATGCAGCGTATCGAACATCACACTCCATCTGCTGCTGCTCTTCCTCCTTCCTGGAAGCTTCCGCTACTCCTTCCCTTGCTCCATTTATCTCTCTTCTCTCCACCCATCCTCCTGAGTCTCCTCCTCTTTCCTCTGCTTTTGCCGGTTGTGCTGACTCAGCAACTTCGGCTGCTGAGTCAGCGCCAACCTGGAACCGAGTCATCGAGGTTTCGGATAGGGCCGAAGGGGAGGAGGAGAGGGTGGATGGGGAAGCGGGGGCGGAAGAGGAGAAATCGGGGGAGGAGGAGAGGGGAGATGCCGAAGCTAGGACAGTGGCTTGGCCCGAAGCTAAGTCTGCAGGTTCTGGTTGGAGGTTCGGTGAGAATATAGGTTCGGAAGGGGTGGGTAGTGATTGGTAGGAGGTGGCGGTGGGAGGTTCGGAGGAGGGGAAGGAGGAGGGGGAGGAGGAGGGGGAGGAGGGGGATGAAGAGGAGGAGTAGGCAGCAGGTTTCCAGGAAGTTACCCGCACAACATCCATGGGAGTGCGTCGGCCAATCACAACGTTCAGTGCTGACGTGGCAGGGTCACGCGAACCAATGAGGCTGCAGGAGGGAACATTAAGGGTGCAATGTGGTGAGAAGGATGAAAGGGAAGAAAGGGGTTGAGTGCAGTGACAACGGGTGACCAATAGCGATCGGGAGGAACATATCGGCAGGGAAAAAGGGGGAAAGAGGCAGAGTTGAGTTTTGAGTCGACTCAAAACTCAACATATTCGCAGGGAAAAAGGGGAGAGGAGGCAGAGTTGAGTGAGGAATATGTTCCTACAGAGGGTGACGGTGAGGAGGCACGAAGAGCACCTCTTGAGTGCCCCTCACATCAGGTGAGGTGGGTGGTAAAGGGGGTGAGATTGGTAACTCCACAAGCCCCTCACCTTGGTAAGGTGGTAAGTGGTAAGGTGGTAAGTGGTAAGGTCGTAGTCCCTCCCCTCTTGCATTCAGAAGGAATGATCCCAATCCACAGCTTCCTAGGCAGACACAAACCCAACCCCCCCCCTTCCCCCCCCACCTTATCCCGTCTGACAGAATGCAGTTCTGGTTCTCGTCCCACCCAACCCCCCTCCTCACCTCATGGCAATGCAATCTGTAGAACCGGCAGGGATGATCCCAAGGCTCAGCCGACTAGGCAGACACAACCCCAACCACGTCCTCTCCCTCCCCTAATGGCGGCACAGACTGTCACAATCCAACTCTCGTGATTGCCCCACCTTCCCTTTCCTCACCTCATGGCAATGCAGTCAGTCGACCCAGCAGGAATAATCCCAATCCTCAGCCTCCTAGGCAGACACAACCCCACTCCGCCATCCTCCCCAAATCCTCCCTCCCTCCACTCATCCACTCCCCTTCCCCACTCCCCCACTCCTGCCCTCTCCTCCCCTTCCCCACCTTCCTCCTCCTCCCCCTCTTCCCCCTCGCGCACCGTCCCCCAGTCACTCAAAAACGTTGCATTCCTGACCCCCGGACCAAAACTGCTTCGACCGAAGCTGCGCCGAGCCTGCTGCGCCTTGGGCGTCTCGTAAAACCCCTTCGCCCCGCCGCCCCCCTCCTTGGGAGTCGGGAAATAATACCCATCCGAGCCGCCACTACCAGGCTTAGGAGTCTCATAGTACGATCCGGCTTTAGGAGTCGCATAGTAGCCTTTAGGAGTGTCATACCCATACCCGGCAGGAGTATTTAATCCAGCAGGGGTATTAAGGCCATCATGGAAATTAAAGACACCAGGAGTCTCTAAACCAGGAGTATTTAACCCTGCAGGGATGTCCAAACCCCTGCCGCCTCCTCTCGGCGAATCATCGCCGTCCACGTCAGCATGCCCCCCGCCGGTTTGCCCGAATGTGTGTGTGCCCTTGTCATTATTGCGTCGCCAGTTGTTCAAATTCAACCCCGCAGCAGCCAACCACCCCTTGCTCCCCACTCGCTTCCTCCCCTCCCTTCCTCCCTCCTCCCCCTCCTCCTCCTCCTCCTCGTCCTCCCCTCCTCTCTCCTCTCCGCTCTCCTTCCCGTCTCCTCTCTTTTTTCCTTCACATGGTTGCCCTGCGCTGCCCATGTCCAGGTTCACTGCACCTGCCGCCTCCAACTCGCTCTCCTGCCTGCAAAACCTGCCGAGCGTCAGCTTCCTCACCAAACCTGGAGCGCAGGCTCGGTCCGAACCTGCGGGGCCAACACCTGCACCACCAGCAGCGCCAACATCATCAGCATAAGCAGTGTCGCCATCTGAAACAACTACACGCTCCTGCGCTGCATTCTCCTCTCCCCCCTCTTCCTCCTCCTCCTCCTCCTCCTCCTCCTCCTCCCTCTCCTCTTCTTCTTTCTCTGCTGTCGTGGCGCCCTGCCACGCTGGCAGCTGCTCCAAATCGCCTCCTGACCCCGAATCGGCTCCCAAACCGCCTCCTATTCCCAATCCACCTCCTAATCTTAAACCCCCTGTGTCTGTACCGTTGTCCTTGACCGACCTAGCCAACTCTGATCCACAGTCCTCCTTCCCTGCGCTCCTAATCCTTCCCCTCTCGCTCCCGCTTCTGCCAGCACCGCATGGGGCGGTGGAGGGCGGCGGGAGGCGCAAGCGCGCGGGGCGCACGCACGGAAAGGCGCGATGGCGCCGCCTCGCGAGCCCGTTGAGCGCCTCGTTGAACAGCCCGTCGCCGCCCTGAGGGATGGGGGGAGAAGGGAATGGAGTTGGGATGGGTTGGGATGGTTTCAGATGTGTACAACAGGCATCAGCGCCTCGCCAGCCCGTTGGGCGCCTCGTTGAACAGCCCGTCGCCGCCCTGACGGTGGGGGGGAGGGGGAAGGGGGGGAATGGGAGTTGGGATTGGTTGGGATGGGTTGCGAGCGGTACAGCACTTCAGCGCCTCGCCAGCCCGTTTGGCGCCTCGTTGAACAGCCCGTCGCCGCAGTGGGGCAGCGGGTTGGAATGGAAGGGTTCAAAGGGTTGCAAAACAGCATCAGTACTTGGCCTCGTTGAACAGCGTGCGACTGTGTGTGCGACGCTGCGTGCGACTGTGTGTGCGACTCACCACGACGATGATCCCGTCGAGCTGGCAGAGCTCCTTGTCCGACGCGTTCTGCAGCATGTCGCGCGCGTGGTTGCGACGGCTAGTTACCACCACCTGCAACCAACGAAACAATTGCGAATGAGAAAATTCGTTATTATTGTTCGTACGTGCAATCTTACGACAACCGAAACGCCCAAAATTTCTCTAAGCGGAGAAGGACGCGCGATTGGTGCTTGCTGCTGCTACTGTTCGCCATAAAACTTCGCGAACTCTGTGGTAACCACAGGCTCACCTGCACGGCGACTCCTGCGCGATCGAACACGGGTCGAACCGCCTCCCATGTCTTTAATCCCTTCTTCCGCCCGCCAATAGGGTTCACGAACACTAAGAGGCTCCTAGGGCGCTCCGGGTCGGCGCGCAGCAGCGAGAGGATGCGGTCCGACCACTGCTGGCACACGTCAGCGTTGGCGTGGCAGAAGACGAGCTTGAGCGGCATCCAACGGTCGGCGGAGCGGCGGAACGTGTGAACCGCGAATTGATGCATCTACGCGCGCGGGGAGTTGGGGGGCGGAGGGTGGGGGGTGGGGGAGGGGGTGGGAGATTTGGGTGAATACAAGAGCACGGGGAATACTCGAAAGGGAGCGGAGCGGCGGAACGTGTGCACCGCGAATTGATGCATCTGCCCTCGACGGGGGGAAGCCGGGGAGAGTGCGGGGGGAGGGGAGCGGATGAGAGGCGGAGGGAAGGGGTGGAGGGCAGGGAAGGGGAAAGCAAGGGTAAGATATGCGGGAAGGGGTGAGGGGAGGGGGGAGGAGGAAGCGGGGGAGAGGGGGGAGGACGAGGTCCAGAGTGAACGGGGGCGAAGATAGCAGCGGATGAGGACAAGTTGGCGCCAGCCGCGCACTTTTCGCGCGCTCCCCTCGCGCATATCTCTCATTCGCTTGTCAGCGTTGCCGTCGAACGCGGGGGCTCCTTCCGCCTATCTCCTTCCGCAGGGAGCCCTTCTCGTCAGAGGCTATTTGGTCCCGAGTCCGTCAAGAAAAAATCACCAAAATCCTTATTGCAGTGTAGCATCACCAGAGGAGTGTACCTTAACGGGACTCGCAAAGAAGCTGCTCTTAACGGATGCCTCTGGGAGCATTTCAACGGCGTAGATTTCGTTGATGGGTGCTGAGCTTGCATTTGGTTGTCCCAGACCGCAGTCGTGGCACGGATTGGTTGCAGGGCACCTCTGAGCGGAGATCACGGAAAGAGATATGGAATGGGAAGAGAAACAATGAGAGAGGTCTGAAAAAGGGGTAAGGAGGGGGATAGGAATAAGGAGCAAGGATAGAGCGGGAGTCAATTGAGTCGACTAAAAAAACACCTCCGAGGGGTAGGAATAAGGAAGTGGGATGAAGGTGGTCTATGTAACCGAGGCAGGATTCGACGGAGGAGAAAAGACGGACGAGAACCGACGGAGAAAATTGACGGAGGAGGAAATGACGAACGAAGAGATGGCAGCGAGAATTGACGGCAATGTGACGAAATGTGTCTGCGCCGTCAGCGACGGAGTCCTCGAACCATTTCTCATTTACGTACGAAGGCTAACGGATACCGCGAGTGGAAACGGACGCAGGGCGATAAGGCTGGCCTGTCATTCCTGGATTGACCCACTTATTCAGTACCTACAGACTGATACAGCACCTGCTGGCCACCTGTAAATTCATTATAAGCTCGTCTTGAGTCTTGCTATTTTTAGTAGCTACCTGACTCGCGGATTCGTCCACTCTGTGCCACAAAATCCCGTCGACCATGAGCGCGGCGCGGACGTGGCCGGAATTCGGAATTAAGAATGACTCTTCCAGCAGCGTGTCTCGAGCCGTGCCCCCGTTCTTGCCGGCCGCCGTCCCCCCATGCCATCCGGCCCTTCCGCGCCGTCCGTCCGCGTTACTAGCGCTTCGCGACATTACGGCAATATCTGGGGCGTGCTTGAAGCCCAGGTCTACGTCTACCATTCCCCCATCGCACTCACTAGTCATGGAAATGAAAAAAGTAAACGCCTTATCTGTCAGAAGAAAGGCGCAACACGAGCTACAGTATCGTACCCCTCCCACAGCCACCTGTCAGACTGCCAGAAATGCTTGCCAGAGCTTGCCTGTTCGCACAGCAACCAGCCCAATCGCGTCTGGCCTAGTGGAATGCGAAGGGGAAGGAATGGGTGGAAGAGCGGTCCAGACGCAAAAATCCGTGACGGGGGTGAAGGAGACGTGCGTACTTTTGGCCGCGAAATGCATTTCAAGTTACAAGCGAGCAGGGAAAGCACGAAGAGAAGCAGAGGGGAGGGGAGGGCGCGAGCGAGCAAGCGAGCGAGGTGCCGCGGTGATGCTTGTTTTGGGGGCGGTGTGGAGCTGGGTGAGGAGGAGTGCAGCGGGACGGAGCGGGGCGGAGCGGAGCAATTGCGCGCGTGAGAGAAACGGCGGTGACTTGTGAAATGTACATACTACGGGGGGGCTCGACGAGTTGGGGGATGGCGCAACGGGTGGGGGAAATGGCGCGACAAGTGGAGAAAATGGCGCAACGGGTGGGGGAATGGCGCGACGTTTTCAGTGCAAGGTTGGGGAATTGGTGCGAGCGGATTCGTTGGTGGGACAACAGCGGGGCGAGTTTGGGTTGGGTTGGGTGAGGGAAATCCGCAGCGCGAGGGGGAAAGTTCGCTCTGTGGAAGAAATTCCGGCCATTATCTCCGATACTCAGATTTTTCATGAGCGCGTTCTCAGGTGTAATCACCAACAGAAACACAGTTTCTCGATATAGTAGGAATCTATTTCTTTTCGTATTTGTATACAGTCACTCAGAAAGAGGAAGTCTAGCACTTGCAATAAATAAATATAATACCCGTAGCAAACCTATATGTTTTCCAGGAAGGATCAACCCTAAACACCGAAAGCCTCCAAATATTTTGGAAAACTTATTGCAACTCTTTTTGACCAAAAAAATAATACCCACCTCGGAAAGGGATGCGACTCGGGGATGCATCAACCCTAAAAACAATGCCCATTTCCGTGTTTAGGGTTGACCCCTCTCGAAAATGCATCCAGGTTCCCTAGGGGTTTCATTTGTTTTTTCTGCCATGCCCGAATGGGTCTCGGTAGCGTCGTCTAGTGCTTTTGGTAGCATTGTTTAGCGGTCGGTTGTGCTACTGAGCACTACCAAGTGAATTATATGGGCTTCATTCTCTTAATACCTTAATTTTTCCGAAAGATGCGGTCTCGGGATCAAATCCCCCCTGCGGCGTATTCTGCCAGCCCCCACTAGAAGGGGCTACTCAACTACTCATCTGGGAGTGGATAGAACAACCTCGTTGACCCAGCAAGGAGTGTAAACAAATGGGGAGGCGGGTTACGATCGACAGCCAGGTGTGGGTAACACCCAGAGGGGCTTCCCCCCCTTTTTTACCTTTACCTTAATTTCCGTACATATATCCAGGTCGGGAGGGTAAACTGGATGGTTTTGTTTTTGTCACTTCCTAATGAGTTCGACCAGCGTGAGAAATGCGACTAAAAAGCGACGACCAATCAACGTTGAGAAAGTCCAGGTTGATTACACCTGAGAACACGCTCATGAAAAATCTGAGTATCGGAGATAATGGCCGAAGAAATTCACTTTGGGCAAGCCTGGCCAACGAGACTTGTGACAGGCGTGAAATTGGAGCAGGCAGGGAGTGAAAGTGACGCCTGATTCGTTTGAGAGTTGTGACGCGTTACATGACACCAGTCACATGACACGAGTCACATGACATGACCTTGACACATGTGTGACGGGACAAACTTGTGGGGCTGGGGGACGAAATGCAGGGCACTTTGCGCCGAACGCGGTGGGCGTATGAGGAGTGGAAAATGGCGGGAAATAGGAGGAAAGCGGCTGCCGCCCTTTGCCCTATGTAGGGGACAGGCCTGGAAAAGGAAAGGTCACTAGCTACATCACATGCAACCTGTTTGCAGGTAGGTCTCTGGGGGAAAGTGATTGTTGGTGGGACGGTGGATGGATGTTGCACAGTCATCTGATCACAGTTCATCCTATCGTTACACATCCACTGTTCTTTGGCAGCACACCATCACTTGCATCACTGATGGTCGTCGCCTTTCACCATGGTCCATCATCCTTCATCAATGTCATGCCCGAAAGTAGTTGGGAAAGACGGGTAGATAGAAATAGCCGTTGTAGGGGGAATCGACCCGCTGTTGCGGAGTCAAACGGTCCGCGGTCAGCTTTCCAAACTCACCAACTCCAAAGCAGACCTGCAAAATGAGATCCTCCGCTCCGCCGCAAGCCTACATGCAAGGTTTTGCTTTTCAAAAAGCGCTTCCCGTAAACCGCGGAGAGCCCAAAGTTTTCCAGAAAACCCGATCACATGGCAATACTTCCAACCACACATGCAATCCCAGTTCCATGCCCGTCAAGAGGCCGTTCCCAAGACGAGCGACTGAAGCGATACATTCACCTGGTATACATCAATAGGACCAACGTAAGGAAACATATAAGGAAACTGAATAGGCAACACTTTTCATCAATTATCTCTGGGTACTTTACACTAGCTTTACACAATCCTAAAACTGAACATTTGCCACATGTATTTGACACCCTGGACTTCCAGTCAGTCAAACAAGCTGCTCTGTATGAATTAAGGAACCCAAAAGCATGTGGGACACCAGCAGCTCCGACCCAGATGAACGAAATGCATGGAGCAAAAAAATTGCTCAGCACTAACGAGCGCATAAAACAGTCTCAGCATGGCAACTGGTGACAATGGTGCCAAAAGCTAGTTCCTGATCCAGTGCGGTTGAAAGCGGTGCCTGCAGGCATCTTATTTGCTGGAGGGAGGCGGCCCTGCAGCCACAGCAGCAACAGCAGCCGCTGCTGCAGCCTCGGCAACAAGATCCTTCCTGGAAGCATCCCACATCTGCTGCTCCAGGTTCAGCTTGCGGACCTCCATAAGCCCGCGCTCCGCTGGTGACATCATCATGACATCACAGTAACATCAGCATGACACCAGCATCAGTCAGATAAGAGAGATGAACAGGGAAGGGGAGGGAAGGGGGGGTGCGGAGGAGAGGCGTTTAGTTAGTGTGTGTCAGATAATGCATGCGTGTTCTATACTCATCTTGCGTGTGAGCACTATGCATGTATTACACTACACACATGTGTGTGTATGATTCAACATAAATGAGCACAAACATGCACACACACACACACACACACATGAGCACACACACACATGCACATGTACACACACACATGCACACAAACACACACACACGCACACACACGCACATGCACACACATACGCGCGCGCACACACACACACACACACACACACACACACACACACACACACACACACACACACACACACAGGAGGGAGCTTCACAGTGCTCCTGGAGATCAAGGTTCAAAAATACGACGTATTTTTTGAAAATTTACCGTAAATTACGGTATCGTAATTTACGGTCGTAAATTACTGTAAAAAACCTGTTTGACGTTGCAAAATTAGGCTGGTTTCAAAAATACGGTCGTAATTATGACCGAAAGTTTGAAACCGAGTTTGTGTATAGCGAATTTCAACATTTTCCCAACCGTCAACCTGTTCGTGAGAATTTTTGTGGCCCCAAACCCACTCGAGAGTGTTTTTTTCCCGAGTCGCGAGTGGTCAGCAAAATCTTGAGGCGCAACATTGTGCATTTTGCTGACAGTTTAACAGGTTTGTTGCCCATTCGCACACTCGTTTGTGTATTTCGCCGAATCGCAAATGTACAAATTTGTGCGACGCGGCAAATTGTACATTTGGCAAACGGATAACACAAGTCTACCCGTTTCGCCAAGTCGGTGGGTCGTTTCGCGGCCCGTTCGTTTTTTTCGCCCGCATGCGCTACTCAACTCAATTTCGACACTGCAAAACCATTCCAACCAATAGCGTTCGTCCAATCTTCATCCCTTCCATCTCATCCCTTTTGCATATTCCATTCGCCAACGCAACACCACCAAGTTAAACCAGGGCAAAAACCACCATTCTGTAGTGTAGTATGTTGTCGCCTTCCTTGTCATCGTTGTAAGCTTTCTAGGAATTTCTGGAAAAAAAAAAATCCGCAAAAATGTCCATTTAAAAAACGACCGTATTTTTGCCAAAACCACCGTAAATTACGACCGTAATTTACGTTTACCGTATTTTTGAACCTTGCTGGAGATCCAGCACACCAGCCTCTCTCTGCTGCAATCTCCGGCTCCGCCTTGTGCTCCCTCCACCAGTTTCCTAAGATACCTGACTACCTTCCCTGACCCGGTTACCCTGCCAGCACACCCTCACAGCCCTCCATCTCACCATCCACAGCATCGTGCGCAGAGGGCTTCACAGCGCTCCTGGAAATCCAGTACGCCAGCTGCTCATCTCTACCTTGACTCTCTTGACTCACTTGACTCCATTGACTCTCTTGACTCTCTTGACTCCATTGACTCTCTTGACTCCATTGACTCCATTGAATCTCTTGACTCTCTTGACTCCATTGACTCTCTTGACTCCATTGACTCCATACTTCTTGACTCACCATCCACAGCATCGTGCGCAGTCGGTTTCACAGTGCTCCTGGAGATCCAGTACGCCAGCCGCTCTGCCGCAATGTCTGGCTCCACCTTGTGGTCGCGTGCCCGCCGCCACCAGTACACCAGCCAGTTCTGCTTGAACTCACGTCCTCCACCTCCTCATCGCTCAGGTCTGCACGGGTAGAAGGCAAGGGGAGGGAAGAAAGTAGTAAGAGGGTGAAAGAGACACCTTGTGGTCGCGTGCCCGCCGCCACCAGTACACCAGCCAGTTCTGCTTGAACCTCACGTCCTCCACCTCCTCGTCGCTCAGGTCTGCACGGGTAGAAGGCAAGGGGAGGGAAGAAAGTAGTAAGAGGGTGAAAGAGACACCTTGTGGTCGCTGCGCCCGCCGCCACCAGTACATCAGCCAGTTCTGCTTGAACCTCACGTCCTCCACCTCCTCGTCGCTCAGATCTGAAAGCATGAGGGAGCGAGGAATGGGAAACAATATGGATTGGAACAGGGTTCAACGGACGAGGGAGGAGTGATGGATGGATCAATGAACAGAAACGAAGAGAAAGGACAGATGGACGAGGGGGGAAGACAGGCACAAGTGAGGGGCCGCAGAGATTGATTTTGAGAATTCTCAAAATCAATCTCAAACAAAAAGGGGGGAAGACAGGCACAAGTGAGGGGCCGCAGAGCATAGCATAGCATAGGCAAGGGGTCGAAGGATGGAAGGAGGGAGGCAAGGCAGAAAGTGAGAAAGGAATATAAGGGACGAAGGAAGGATGGAGCACGGGAGAAGGGGAGGTAGGGAGGGAGGGAGGCAGGGAGGGAGGGAGGTTGGGAGGGAGGGAGGTAGGGCAGAGGAACTCACCCATAGACTCGACCATCCTTGGACCCTCTTCAGCAGCTGCACCCACAGACAGAGGGGACAAGAGGGAGAGGAGAAAGTTGGTGGTTAGGTTAGACGTGAATGAAAAGATAAAGGAGAGGTGGTGAGGCTCAGGAGAGAGAGCTGCTAGGTAGGGATGGGACTAGGAGAGAGCTGCTAGGTGGGGATGGGACTAGGAGAGAGCTGCTAGGTAGGGATGGGACTAGAAGAGAGCTGCTAGGGATGGGAGTAGGAGAGAGCTGCTAGGGATGGGAGTAGGAGAGAGCAGGGCAAGAGAGGGGGATACACCAGACCAGAAGAATGGAGGTGCCAGGCAGCATGGGGACATACATTTCTGAGGCGCCTCAAAAAGGTGCCAGGCAGCATGGGGACATACATTTCCAAACCATGGAAAAAGAAGGAACACCACTCTTACCTGAGCACGAACATCAGTCTATCATGGAAAAGGATAGTCACGGAGTGCACTTTGAGCAGCACGGGGCCGCAGTGCTGTGCCATAGTCAGCAGCAGCACTCCCTCCTCCACCTTGAGAGCTGAAAACCCTCCTCCACGCTAGAGACAGACAGTCTGCTTACCAAAAGACCATGGAGACTCCTAAAGAGTGGAGTGCATTTTCAGAAGGGCAGGGTGGCGGCGCTGTGCCATGGCGAGCAACACGCCCTCCTCCACCTTGCAAGCAGATAAACCCCCTATAGGCAGTCCCCTTACCTGAAGGAGCGGAGTGCACTTTGAGCAGAGCCGGGCGGCGGTGCTGCTCCATAGCCAGCAGCACTCCCTCCTATAGGCAACCCCCTAAAGGCAGTCCCCTTACTCCTCCACCTTGGGTGCTGCCAGGTCTCTGAGTGCCTTCTCAATGCGAAGCGTGAGGCAGCACTCGCTCCTCCACCTTGAGCACCGCCAGGTCTCTGAGTGCCTTCTCATCCCACCGCCTCATCTGTACCCAACCGCACCCCCCTCCTCCACCTTGAGCGCTGGCAACTCGTTATAAACAGGTTCCTTACCTGACGGTGCCGAGTGCACTTTGAGCAGTGCGGGGCGGCGGTGCTGGGCCATGGCGAGCAGCACCCCCTCCTCCACCTTGAGCGCCGCCAGGTTCTCTGAGTGCCTTCTCCACCTGAAACATGCTCTCTATGTTGCTCTCCGTGCCCCACCGTCGCTGGCTTGTCCTCTGTGGGAGGAAGAGGTGGGGGAAGGAGGGCGAGGGGGAAGGAGGGGATAGGACGGGGGGAGGAAGGGGAAGGGAGAGCGGACAGAGTTGTTGGCTGCCCCAGCAACCCACCTTGAGCGCCGCCAGGTCTCTGAGGGCCTTCTCCACCTGAAACATGCTCTCTATGTTGCTCTCCGTGCCCACCGCCGGCGGTTTCTCCTCTGGGGGAACAAAGGAGGGGAGATGACGAGGTGATGGGAGAGGAAGAGGGGGTTGGGGTTGCCTCAGCAGCCAGACCACCTTGAGAGCCGCCAGGTCTCTGAGTGCCTTCTCCACCTGAAAACATGCTCTCTATGTTGCTCTCCGTGCCCACCGTCGCCGGCTTGTCCTCTGTGGGAGGGGTGGGAGGAGGTAGTGGGAATTGAAGGGAGAGAAGCGGGGGATGGATGAGGAGGAAAAAGTTCCACAAGCCTCCTTGGCCAAAAACTTTTCCAAGGCCTGGGTACCCAGCCAGCCCTACACATTTTTCCTTCTATCTGCCTCATTCTCCCAACCTCCCACAACACACCCGTACTGGTGACTCGCCCTTCTTCTCCCCATGCAACTCATACAGCACTCCGACAATCACCACTTCAAAAAGTATTTCAACGCCCTCCCCATTGCGGTCAGCTCTTCCCGAACCCCCTTCCCCTTACATGGAGGCGCCCTCAAGAGATGTTTCAACATATCAGCTTTGAGACGTCTCAGAACTCCTTTTTTCACGTGCCTTTACCATGCGGTCAGCTCTTCCCGAGCCCCCTTCCCCTTACATGGAGGCGCCTCAAGAGATATTTCAACATATCAGCTTTGAGACGTCTCAGAACTCTTCTTTTTTCACGTGCCTTCCCCATGCGATCAGCTCTTCCCGAACCCCCTTCCCCTTACATGGAGGCGCCTCAAGAGATATTTCAACATATCAGCTTTGAGACGTCTCAGAACTCTTCTTTTTTCACGTGCCTTCCCCATGCGATCAGCTCTTCCCGACCCCCCTTCCCCTTACATGGAGGCGCCTCAAGAGATATTTCAACATATCAGCTTTTCCCCGTTCTCCCCTTTCTCTCCCCACTCATATCACCTTTCTTCCAGTTGGGCCACAACCCTAACACAGCCGCGCCTCACCTTTCTCCCCGCCGTCGGGCTCCTCCCGGGCCTTCCTGCCTACATCAATGACCAACCTCGAAGGGCATGAGAAGCACAAGCACCCCCTCCCTCGCCTTCCCTCCCCCTCTCTCTCTCTCTCTCTCCTCTCTCTCTCTCTCTCTCTCTCTCTCTCTCTCTCTCTCTCTCTCTCTCTCTCTCTCTCTCTCTCACCTTTCTCCCCGCCGTCGGGCTCCTCCTGGGCCTTCCTGCCCGCATCAAAGACCACCTCGAAGGGCGGATGCGAGTACTTCTACTTACCCGCCATCCCTCTTTTCCCCCCTCCCCTTCCTTGCCCCTCACACAACCGCGCCTCACCTTTCTCGCCACCGTCAGGCTCCTCCCGGGCCTTCCTGCCCGCGTCAATGACCACTTCGAAGGGCAGAGGCACACCAACAAGCACCCCTCCCCGTCTCCGTTCCCCCACCCCCAAACGGCCTCACCTTTCTCGCCACCGTCAGGCTCCTCCCGGGCCTTCCTGCCCGCATCAATGACCACTTCGAAGGGCAGAGGAGAGTACTTCTGCCAGTGGTCGCTGCGAGAGCTGGCGATCTCAGCATGCACACCTGAAGAAGGGAGGAGGAGGTGGAGGGGAGGAGTGGGGAGGGGAAAAGAGGGGAGATGAGATGAGATGAGATGAGATGAGATGAGATGAGATGCATCATTCACCACCTCCCTTCAAAAGGGCAGAGGTGAGTACTTCTGCCAGTGGTCGCTGCGGGAGCTGGCGATCTCCGCATGCACACCTGGTTCGATTAGGAAGAGAGAGAGAGAGGCAGTGAGTGCGGGGAGGAAAGGGAAAGATGGGAGGGGGAGAAAGAGAGGGGAGATGTGTCGATGACAATGACCACCTCGAAGGGCAGAGGCGAGTACTTCTGCCAGTGGTCGCTTGCGGGAGCTGGCAATCTCCGCATAAATAAGAGCTAAGCTGTGCAGAACATCAATTTACAGTGGCGAGAGGCCAGCACCCAGTGGCGGGCGAGCCAGCAGCGCTTGAGCACCGCCTCCTCCTTCTCCTCCGGGGTCAGTAGAATGCGCGCTGTGAGGCTTCCTTGGAGAACACTTTTGCAGTCGAGCAGGAAACACACATGTACCAGTCACGAGCATACACACGCACCCACAGACCTACCGTGGCGAAGAGGCTAGCGCCCAGTAGCGGGCGGGCCAGCAGCGCTTCAGCACCACCTCCTCCTTCTCCTCGGGGTTCAGCAGAATGCTTCAATGCACGTTGTGAGGCATTGCTTTGAGCCACACACACACCAACAATCAAATCACATGCGCGTACCATGACGGGAGGCCAGCGCCCAGTAACGAGCCAGCCAGCAGCGCTTGAGCACCACCTCCTCCTTCTCCTCGGGGGTCAGCAGAATGCGCGCCGTGAGGCTCCTGAGCGCCCTCACCTCCTCGCTCGCCTGCCTCGCCTCCTCCATCGCTGCTGCCGCCTCCTCCCTCTGGGACTGCAGGGGGTGCATACACGACAGGTGGGTGGGATGGCGTGCACATACGGAAAGGGCAGGCATTATTCTCCTGTGATTGTCACCAAGAGGCTCCTGAGCACCCTCGCCTCCTTGCCCGCCTGCCTCGCCTCCTCCCTCTGGGACTGCAGGAGATGCGACGATGCACACATAGCAGAATGGAAACATGGACGGGTGGGTGGCAGACACACAGGGAAAGCGCATGTGCTATTCCCCTGTCATCGCCGCTGTGTGGCTCCTCCCCCCCTCACCTGCCTTGCCTCCTCCAACGCTGCTGCCCCCTCCTCCATCTGCAACTCCAGTCACTCAGTGACTCACTCCCACCCATTCCCACCAATTTACACTCCCCTTCACTCCTTCCCTCACCTCCAGCTCCATCCTGAGCGTGGTGATCTGATCTCCACCTCCTTCACGCCCTTGGCAAGCTATGACCCCACTCACTCAGTGACACACTCCCACTCACTCCCAACCACTCCCACCCATTTCCACCCATTTCCACACCCTCACCTCCAGCTCCATCCTGAGCGTGGTGATCTCCACCTCCTTCACGTCCTTGCTCTTTTCCTTCATGGCTACACTCCCTCTCATTCAGCGACACACACTCTCGCCCACTCCAGCCCACTCCCACCCATTTGCACTCCCTTTCAACCCCTCTTCACCCACGTCCTCACCTCCAGCTCCATCCTGAGCGTGGTGATCTCCACCTCCTTCACGTCCTTGCTCTTGTCCTTCATCTCCTTTAGACTCGCCTGCAATGTCATTGTCATGCATGCCCCACACACACACAAGCACACACACAGGCAGGTGAGAACAAGAATGGCAATCAAAGCAGGCCATCAAAGGGTATGCATGAGGCATGGGCAGGGCAGGGCTGTCAAATCCGGATGGGTGAACAAGGCTATGAGATCTGCTGGATGGGTAATCCATGCATGCAGGCGAGTATTAGCATGCAAGCAGGAGACAGTGCGAGTATAGCATGCAAGCAAGGAGCAGTGCGAGCATTAGCATGCAAGCAGGAGCGGTGCGAGTATTAGTGAACAGAAATTACCTCGCGCTGCTTGAGAAACCGCCTCTTTCCTGCCAGGGGGAGGAGCGAGTGGCGCGAGGAGGGGAGGGGAGGAGCAGAGCATTGCCTGTCTGTCAACTTTTGAGTCGACTCAAAAGCATGCCTGTCTGTCAACACCTTCACGAGATTTGCCTCAAGAAACGCCTTTTGAGGCACCTCAAAACAGAAACTCAAGAGATTTGCGCAGCAAATGAGTTCAGAGATGTCTTGAAAATCAGAGTAGCAAAGTGAGGCGGGGGACCGGGGGGGAGCAGCGCAGAGAAAGAAAGACAAGCGGAGAAGAAGGTTCAGGAGGAAGAGAACTGGCTGGGCTCAAAGGGAGGGGGGGCGATGGGGGAGGAAGGAGGGGGGAGTGGTGTCTGGATTGGATAAATCGGGTTGACCCCAGGAATCCAGTTTTAAAAAATCGTTTGGGTTTTGCTCACTTGTTGAGAAGACGGGCCTCCAGGCTGAGCCCTTCTCCCATCTTGGCCACCTGCAGGACGACAGAGGGATAGAGCAAGAGATTGAGTGGCAGAAAGCGGTGGAGCGCAGTCCAAGGGTAGAGTACGGGCAGTATGTGGAAAGCCAATGCCTACACAGAAGGGCAGTGGCAGTGGTAGTGACTTTTCTCAACTCGACTCAGCTTGGCCCGGCCCGGCCCAACTCAGTTCGGCTTGGGCCGACCTGACCCGACCCAACCTGACCGAACCAATCTGGGCCAAACCGAACCGAGCCGAACCAAACCGACTTGACTTGTTTTGGCCTTGACTTAACTCTCCCCTCGCCCTCCTCACTACCCCAACCTCTCACTCACTCCTCTCACTCCCTCCTCCCACTCCAACCTCTCATTCCCCCCTCTCACTAACCTCCCCCCCACCCACCTGCTTCTCCAGCTCCTGCCCGCGCGCCTTCTTCTCCTTCAACCAAGTCCGCCCCTCCTCTTAACCACCTCTCCCATTACCCCTCTCAATCATTCCCCTGCCCTTCCCGCGCACCCCCCCCCCCCCTCCCCTCCCCACCCACCTGCTTCTCCAGCTCCTGCACGCGCGCCTGCTTCTCCTTGAGGTCCTCCTCCGCCATGCGCAGCTGCAGGGGCGGGGGGAGAGGAGAGGGGGAGTGTGGGGAAAAAGGGGAGAGGGGGAGTGTGGGGAAAAAGGGGAGAGGGGGAGTGTGGGAAAAAAGGGGAGAGGGGGAGTGTGGGGAAAAAGTGGAGAGGGGGAGTGTGGGGAAAAAGTGGAGAGGGGGAGTGTGGGGAAAAAGGGGAGAGGGGGAGTGTGGGGAAAAAGGGGAGAGGGAACACAGTGAGAGGCGGAGAAGCATAGCCTTGAGGTCCTCCTCTCCTCTGCCATGCGCAGCTGCAGGGGCGGAGGGGAGAGGGGGAGAAGGCGGAAGCAAAAGGGGGGAAGGGGACACAGTGAGAGGCGGAGAAGGACAGCCCTCAGGTCCTCCTCTCCTCTGCCATGCGCAGCTGCAGGGGCGGAGGGGAGGGGCGGCGCGAGAGGGAAAACCGGGGGGGGGGGGGGGAGGAGGTGAATGGGAGGGGTGGGAAAGGGTTGGGGGAAGAGTGAGGGATGGCCTTGCACGCGCGCCTGCTTCTCCTTGAGGTCCTACTCCGCCATGCGCAGCTGCACAAGGGGGGAAAGGGACGGGGGAAGGAGGGAGGGGGGAGGGGGGAGGGGAGAGGGGGGAGGGGGAGGGGAGGAGGGGGGAGGGGGGAGGGGGGGGGGGGGGGGGAGAGAGTGAATAGAGACGTGAGTCCTCCTCTGCCATGCGCAGCTGCACAAGGGGGGGTGAGGGGTGGGGAGGCCGGGAGAGCACAGGGGGGAAGCAGTGGGGAAATAAGGGATAGCCCTGAGATCCTCCGCTGTCATGCGCAGCTGCTCAAGAGCGGAGGGTAGAGGGAACGCGGCACTTCCAGCCTCAGATTGAAATATGAATGAACAGCTTACAGCACATGAGAAACAGCTTACAGCACATCAGACACAGCTTACAGCACAACAGAAACAGCTTACAGCACAACAAAAACAGCTTACAGCACATCAGAAACAGCCTTCCCCCTTGCCAGCATGACAATATGAATGATTGCGCGAGTTTTTGCCGCCTCAAGAAACACACTCTCAGAAACCCCCATCAGCTCGCCTTATCCAGCAGGAACTCGTTTTCCTCTGTGAGAACATCCAGCTGGGGGAACAGACCTTTTTGAATTGCCTCGAACACTGCCCCCCTACCAATTCACCCCCATCAGCTCGCCTTATCCAGCAGGAACTCGTTTTCCTCTGTGAGTACGTCCAGCTGGGTGAACAGACATCTGAGGCCCACTGCCCCCCCACCAATGTATCCCCCACTCTCCGAAACCCCCATCAGCTCACCTTATCCACCAGGAACTCGTTTTCCTCTGTGAGTACATCCAGCTGCGAAGACGAGGCGGGAAGAGGAGCAGAGGGGATGGGACACAGTGACGAGCACATTAAGCTAGCTAGCTGAGTCTAGTTTTGAGGTGCATCAAACACGGGCAGGAAGAGAGCGGCAAGGGGGCAGGGAGCACAGTGACAAGCACATTAAGCTGAGGAAAAGGCAAACGAGAAGAGAAAAACGAGATGGTAGATAAGGGGGGAAAGAGGAGGGAAGGGGAGAGAAGGAGTGGGACATGGAGGACAGTGACGAGCACATTAAGCTGAGGAAACGGCAAAAAGAGAACGGGGGAAACGAGATGGCAGAGAAGCGAGGTAAGAGGCAGAAGGGGCGGAGGGACAAGGAGCATGGCTGTGACATGGCTGTGACATGGCTCATTCATGGCTCATTCATGGCTCATTCATGGCTCATTCATGGCTCATTCATGGCTCATTCATTGCTCATTCATGGCTCATTCATGGCTCATTCATGGCTTTAGGCACTCCCTGCTCTCACATCGTCCTTGAGCTTGCCTCGCTCTTTCACGCTTCTTACATAATCCTTTTACGTAAGCGTGGTCTTACATCGTCCTTGAGCTTGGCTGATTCGCGCTTGATGCTCTCCATCTCCTGCCGGGACGCTACTGTATCCCTGCCAGAGCGACGAGGGCAGTGCAGAGGGGTGAAACGAGGCGCGGAGGACTGTGAAGAGGTGCAGTTGGGTGGGGTGAAGCGTGATGCAGAGTAGCAACGCGGATGCGTTGTCAAAGTGAGGAGGAGCATTCACGCATCTCCTCTCCAGCGCGTGCAGGAAAATCACTATTGAGAATTCTCAAAAGTGGATTTCAATCCAGCGCGTACAGGCGCCGCCTCATTCATGCTGTATCAGCCTATGCCCCCCCATCCCCCCCTCGGTACGGGTGCCCCATAGGTTCCAATCTGTTCCCTGCCACACATTCCCGCATTCCGCACGCTACACCATCATCATCACAGACATTCCCGCATCTCCCCTCCTCCATGCACCATCCATACGTACGGGCGTCGTCCCATGTCATATCCGCCCATGCCTCCCCCCCTCGGTACAGGTCCCCCATGTGATCATGTGAGTCGTATCCGCCCCCCGCCATCCCTCACATCATCACACCCACACATTCCCGCGTCTCCCCTCCCCATGCACCACTCACGCATTTACCACCCCAAACACCACCCCTAGGTACGGGCGTCGCCCCATGTCATATCCGCCCATGCCGCACCCCCCCTCGGTACGGGTTCCCCATGGGGTCGGGCGCGTTGTATCATATCCGCGCTCTGCCATGCCTCACATCATCACACCCACACATTCCCGCATCTCCCCTCCCCATGCACCATCCCACACATTCGCCTCCCCATGCACCCATGTCACATGCACACGCACGCGCGTCGCCCCATGTCATACACCCATGCCTTCCCCCATGTCATACACCCATCCATCCATCACACTCATCCCACACGTACGGTCGTCGCCCCATGTCGTATCCGCCCATGCCTCCCCCCCCCTCCCGGTACGGGTCCCCCATGGGGTCGGGCGCGTCATATCCACCCCTCACACTCATTCCCGCTCCCAACTCCCCTCCCCATACCCCATCCCATCCCCTACGCACGGGCGTCGTCCCATGTCGTATCCGCCCATGCCGCCCCCCCCTCGGTACGGGTCCCCCATGGGGTCGGGCGCGTCATACCCGCCCCCTGCTGGCCGCGTGCGCCCCATAGCGCCCCCAGTGGGGGGCTGGCGCATTCCCCCGCCGGACCTGGGGAGCTGGGAAGGGGGAACGGGGTGCGCGAATCAGGACACGAGTCACAGGACGCATCTCAAGACAGCACAAACCTTACAGTATGATTAAGCGGATATCCGAATTCATAACAAGTAACTGCTGCAAACATGTAAACCAAATAGAATGCTTCACTTTGCACATATTAACCTCCCGTTTCAGATCCGCACTCTCAGACGTTTTGAGACCACACCATCCCTGACGAATCAGCAACAATCGCGTTGATTGAATAAAAACGTTAACTGAGCCTATCGTGTTTGACATCCCCGTTGACTCCCAGCGTTGACTCCTCGCGTTGACTCCTTGCGTTTGACTCCTAGCCTAAACGTCATTGACATCAGTCTGCCGGCCTTGTCCTCAGTCTGCCGTCTAGTCTAGCCACCGCTGATGTCAGCTTATCATCGTCGACCTAAAGTTAACCGACGATGACCTGACCTGATTGTCGTCAATGCTGACATCATCTGACAATCCTTGACCTAAGCTAATCGCCTTGTTGACCTTATCCTCGAAACGCTGAAAGAAATTTCTCGTCGTGTTGACCTCAGCCTGCCGTCATCGTTGACCTAGTCTTCCTCATCGCTGAAGTTAAACCTACCGTCCTTGTTCTGAACTCATTGCTTCGTCGCCTCGTCGTCTCACTCATCGTCTCATCGTCCCAATGTCCCATCGTCTCATTGTCGCAATGTCCTGAGATTCACCAGCAGCGCACGCCCATCGTCAATATCAAGGCATGCGCTTCACGTCCTACCATGCTAAACATAGCTTCACGCCGATGGCCAAGACCTATCTAATCGTTCAGTCGACGGATGGCTCCGGAACAATTGAAGCCAAGTGGCATGCATGCGCCGCATAAAACGTTTCGCCGCGTTTGCCCATTTCCGGCACTGCGCTAATAACGAGGCAGTCGCTCCGGGTAAGCTCTTGGGGACCTGTTCCATGCATTCTACGACAGCATTTTTCTTGTCGACTCAAAAATCGTTTCATCACACGCAGTCGCTCCGGCTTAGCTCTTGGGGACCTGTTCCATGCATTCTATGACAGGCATTTTTCTTGTCGACTCAAAAATCGTTTCATCACACGCAGT